TGTCAGTGATTTAATGAGTTTGACTAATGGTCGCGTGTCGCGGGTAGAATGTCGCGGGTAAAATGTCGCGGATAAAAAGTCGCGGGTCGTAAAAAAGCTCCAAACCGTGTATTTTATTGAGTCACGGGTTGAATAAAGTGTGTAAAAATCACGTTATCATTTAGTAAACAACCATATAGGATTGCTTCAATACGAAATATAAAAGAAATATAAGAATACTTGTTTCTGGAAAGTACTGATCGATGTGCAGAGGCTTGACGACAACGCGCACTGAGCGGATTTTTACCCCTGATATGGTAGAAATTGGATGGTAATATGTATTACTAAAATCAGGACTATAAACATAGGAATGTGCAACAGGACCTTTTGCACTACCGTCTATCAACGTGCTTTACAACAATGTTATATGGTTCTTGTCTATATTTATCAGCCATAACATCTTCGAACAACTATTGATAAAAAACATTAAATAACTAAATTTTAATGTGATTTTTACACACTTTATTCAACGGTTTAGAGCTTTTTTACGACCCGCGACTTTTTACCCGCGACATTCTACCCGCGACACGCGACTTTTTACCCGCGACACGCGACCCACGACCATTGGTCAAACCATAGTTAATAGTCAAACTCGCAGGAAAAGACTGAAAATGCAATTTGAATATCAAACACCTTGCACAAAGTCGAAGGTCAGCTAAATATTCTAATTCTACTTTCTTGGCATGGGGTTTTTTGTGAATCCCTTGAATGCTTATAACTTCTTGCTTTTGTATGTATAATTATACTGTTAATGGTGAAGCTAGCCATTACTAAACTAAACTCTACATGTCCAATGATTCATTCAAGTATTATCAATGTTGATATATATGGCAATATGACATTGTACAGTATTCAGTGGCAAGCTAGCCATGGCAACTGGTCATGCTATGCTAATAAACCTGCAAATCATTAAAAACTTGCATAACATGACTTGTTGCTACAATTTCATATACTTTACTTGTATTAAAATTCGCGCAGTACTAGAATTCGCGCAGCGCTGGGTTGCGCGAATTTTAGTAATGTGCGAAATATAATCCGCGCGAAAAGCTTTGTGATGTAATATGAGACACCGGTTGTTAGTAATGCAAATCAGTTGATTTATTTAACGCACATCTACACATTTAACATATCATATGTTTTAAGTTGTCCTGTCAATATTAAAAATAAAAAATGTCTTCCTCCCGGACAATTTCAGTCGGGATATTCTCAGGTTCCACGTAGCATTCCGTTACGAATGCCTGCATTTTGCCACAGATCCTCAAACATTGTTGTCAAAGGTGGCAACGATCATGTGTGAGCGCCGCATTGAAAGAGCCACAACGAAAAGAGGATCCATTTGAACTCTAGCTAAATATATTTGTGTGTTTTGAGATATATTTGTGCGTTTGAAACATATTTGTGTGTTGCACTTGTGGGCCAACGTAGTTTTATACCATTTATGAACCTATAATATATGGGAATGCTAATAAAAGATTAGTGCTATTGTATTATTCAAATGGGAACCATACAATAAATGTTTTAGCTTTATTACATAATTTTGAAACCATTTTTGAGGCCATCTAATCGCTTTTTGATTAAGTTTTGATAAAAAAATACTCGTTATAAATACGTAAATTGATAGTTCTATTG